AAAGCACAAAGAGACGGTTTTCGGATGACCCATAGTGAAAATCGCGTCCAAAATTGCATGGACTAACTGCTGCTTCATAGCAAAGATGCGCAGACAATTTAATCAGCCATTTTGCTTTATTCCATCATATTTTCAAGCCAAAAAATAATGAATCTTTGGCTCCATTGCAAATGATGGAAAAAACAAAATTGAACTGATTTACTGTAATAAATTAAACACTACGCTTGGTGAAGACAACTTGTTCCGTCCTGTAGCTCTCACGAATGACGGAAACATCGTCTGGGACGATGGCCTCTTAAACAGTTAAACCCCATCTGTGAATCTGTAAACGGAACAACATTCACCTTCCCAAGCATGAAGCATCAGAAGACAAACAACCTACTTGGCCGGATCGTCCGTTGGCAGCTGCCGTCCCAAACCGGCAAACCCCAGTGGTAATGGATACCCTCCGCCGCCATAACGAACCCATCTGCGACTGAAACCTTCCTCCATTCTCCACCGCCCTACCTATCAAATCAATGACTGAAACCTTTGCCAAGTACCATCTATTTCTTTTTTCGGATCCAAACTTTAGCGTACACACATGCGTTTACAATACATAAAGGAAATATATCGAAACATATACCACATCTTAAATTTTAACCCCCAAATCGAGTATGTTTTAATATTTCAAAATACGGCCTATGTATACCACGTCTGTAACTACCGTGGGCACAACTGCACAAAAATCAGATACGTCTTGATTCACATAGTAGCCAAATAATAATCTATAAATTTCAATTTTTTCAATCCAGTTATTTAAGCAACCAACACTTATTAATTATAACATGAGATTAAAAAATCAAATATACTCTCCCCTTCTTATCTTCGGCTTTGGCATTACCAAATGGGTGATTGAAGTGCTTGTCTCCTTGTTATCTCATCTTCCGCAGGTCACACAAAGAAACTTCATAGTAGTAGGGCGGTGGAGTAACAGATACTTCATACTAAGTACGAAGTATTCAACATCATATTATTCATATATAAGATAAATATAGTAACATAATCGGACCATCCTAAAACCGAATCCCTGGAAGACATAAATTAATTAACTTTCCGGTAAAATGGTGAGGATAACTCTACACCTTCCGTTGCCCTGCCAAATGACATCGGTGACCGGAAAGTATGCTACCTGGCCTGCAAAACCCCATCTGTGATCTAAGCATCCGCCGCCTTCCCGAACCCCAATGGCCTTTGAAAACCTCCACCGCTCTCCCTGATCCGCCGATGACTAACATCTTTTGCCGTTTTATGCATAGTAGAAGTCGTTTTTATACATGATGTGGTCGGAGTGCCTTTTCATTATCTGGGCTAGCTTCTCTTGTACGATCTTTCAATTTCTCGAGTAGACAAAACTCAATTACTACTTCCAATGCTATTAAATAATAAATCGAGAGAAGTCCAAACATTTAATCAAGAACATGCATCATCCAATGCACCTTTTAATTAATGAGATGCTTGGAAAATAGGAATTGCTAATGTGAGTTCTAGAATAGACTCGGCCAGTGAGCGCTGCACTTCCCGCCTAAATGGCTTCCCACTATTCCGTTTTTATATATTATATAGATTTGGATTCACACGGCCAAATTTATACTACGTATTTATCAGTTCAACACAGTTTTCTATAATTTCGGCTCGGTCTTGTATTTCTATTAATTTTTACAAATTACCCTATTAAAATGAACATGGCCAGATTGGGTATTACTTGTATTGAAATTAACCGAGTTCATGATTTTCATCATTATCATTCATATTTGTATTATTAAAGTTATTATAATTATTGTCAAGTACCTTGTGGTCTGATGGCAACACTGCTGATCTCCCAAAGAGGAGGTCACAGGTTCGAGTCTCATCCCAATCAAGGATGTTGGTGTTAACTAGAATAGATATTATAATAGGTTTAGAAGAATGTCAAAAAAAAAAAGTTATTATAATTATTAATGCTCTTGTCCAAACTCCATGAGTAGATTAACCACTTCCGATTAACAAATCTTAAGCCCTTATTAGGAAGACATGCGGCCAGTAAAATAAAACAAACCATATGCATTTCATATTCTGTGCCTAATCGGTGCGGCCAGTAAAATAAAACAAACCATATGCATTTCATATTCTGTGCCTAATCGGTGGTAAACGCAGGGCTAAGAGACGAGAGACGACCTTACCTATCTTGAGGGCAGAGGATGGACCGACATGGAAAGTTCGTTCAGTCTGGCGATTGGGTGCATGGCATTGGTGTCCTCCTCAGTGATCCCCTCTCCGATGTGAGCGCAGTATGAAAACAGAAAGAGGTCTGCACAGGTTCTCCGGCGGCGCTCTCGGCACGGGTGGTACCTCTGGCGTCTCCTTCTCCGTCGTGGAAAATGTCCCGGTAGTCCGGCAGTGATACACCGGCATACTACCCGTACTTCAAAGAAGAACCAAAGCAGGAGTTTCGGACTCTGCAGTGACCTGTGGCTTCTCCTTATTTCTCTTCTACAAGTGAGGGGAGTAGCAGAGCATTTTTAAAGAGAAATTTGGTTGATGGCTCGTTTTGTTTAATTTGCTTGGTCAGAGTTGCCCGTCTCATGATATATGTATGCACAAGGATAATTCTGGATGGTGCAATAATTCATTTGAATTAATTGTTATGTCCTTGATTGGTAACTGAAGCTGTATAATACGGAGTGCTGAGTCAGGAAAAGACAGCTGAGCTAAGCGAATTACTATTCTTTAAATTATTATTATCGCATATGTCAAATATTGTTCCATATTTGTCCATATTGTAGCAGTGTTCATCCGCATTATTATGCAAGTAGTATATTATTGCTTGTAAATTATTGCTTATCTAAGTACATTTGTTCTGATGTGTTTATTATTGAGGAGTAACTGTGTGATGTTAAGAATACCATGTAGAAATGTTTACTTCATGCACGTAGCCATCATAAACCAACCGGCATCCTTAGATTTGTTAGATGTTACTTTTGTTATTTAAATCAAGCTCTTATCTGTCAACATAATTATTATAACAATGTCACTTTTATTATCGAAATATTTTTATCTGATTAAAATATCACCGATATTAAAATTTTACTTGATTCACTTAATTATTAAAATGTCACTTTCGTAACATTTTATCTGATTGATAAAATTTATATTTTTATTTATTTATTTAAATTTTTAGAGTGTCACATGTTTGACCGACAATAAAGCAAACACGTCCCTGTCATCACACAAATTATTTTTAGAAAATAGAATTACATGTTCAGAAACTAAATCACAACTTTAAAAAGTCGCATAAATCATAAACAAATTTGATAAAAATTTGATATATAAAGTAAGAACTTAAAAGTGATTTGTGTTGACCAAGTGATTAGAGACATATCTTATAAAATGAAACTGAGGGAGGCTAACTTAATATTATGGTCACATTTGAGCTAAAATATAAAAGAGACTCACACCTTGTTTTGAGATTACCTTTTTTTTTAACATAATACCTCTGTTCCATCCTAAAAGAAGGCCCTAATTTCAAGATTACCTCTTTTTTACTTTATTTTTTTTATATTGAATTTACCGTAAAATATAAATAATTGATCGTTATATTTTTTATTTGTATTTTATATTTGATCTTTTTTTTTTGTAATTTTGGATCTTGTAAATGTGTCAAAATTCAATGGGGTTTAGTTTTTTTTTTGTGTGGGGAAAACAAGATTTTATTAGAAAGAAAGGTATTACTATGAAGTTGTTCTCTTCACCTGATCTGAATGTTTCTGATCTGAATTTTTTAAGTTCTGATCTGATCTGAATTTTTCTGATCTGATCTAATCTGATCTGAATCTTTCTGATCTGGTCTGATGTGATCTTAATCTTTCTGATATGATCTGAACGTTCCTGATCTGATCTGAATCCTTTTGATCTGATCTGATCTGAATCCTTCTGATCTGATCTGATTTGAATATTTCTAAAATTATAATTATAATTTTAATTTTAATTGTTATAATTAGAAATGTAATTACACATATATAATTTAAATATAATTATAATTATAATCATAACTATAAAAAAATTATAATTATAATTATGATTATACGTATTACACTAGTTATAAATATAGCTATAACTAGAGGAAGCGGTCCAGCTCAGCTGATCGCCGACTCACTCTCCCTTATGTGGGAGGTCTCGGGTTCGAAACTCAATGGGGTGAGTTTCGACCTAGTTTACTTCAGCCCCCCCCCCCAGACCCCCTCCCCCAGACATCTCCTAGAGTAAACAAAGAAAAACTATAATTATAATTGTAATTATATTTTTAGTTATAATTATTTCTATAATTATAATTTTAATTATAATTATAATATTTATTTCTATAATTTTAATTGTAATTACTCCGTGTAATATAATAATAACAAAAAAAACTAATAACAATAACAACAACAACCATAATAGTAATAAGAATAAGAATAATCATGATAATAATAAATATCATAATAATAATAATAATTATAGTAATCATAGTAATAATGATGATGATGGTGGTGGTGGTAATAATAATAATAGTAATATCAATAATAATAGTAATTATAATAATAATTACAATAACAACAAGAATAATAATAATAATAATAATTATTATTATTATAATTATTATTAATATTATTATAATTATTATAATAAAAGGGATAAATCATGTCTGAACTTTTCTGATCTGATCTGAATGTTCCTGATCTGATCTGAATGATTCTGATCTGAATCTTTCTGATCTAATCTGATCTGAATTTTTCTGATCTGATCTGAATAAAATAAGAATAAGCAATAAGTAATATGATTAAGACGAACCGAACCATTCCTAAGTATAAAAATGAGTGTGACTCTCATGATTTAAATAAAGGGATCCCTTAAATAAAAAAGATAAATTTAAAGACCAGTACGTCTGAAGTGGGCCAAGGGAATATATGTGTGAAGCTGATGTACGAAGTACAATAGGTACGAAGGAAAGGTTTGTGACCGTTGTCGTGACCTACTTCGCAGACTTCTCCATTTAGAGAGGGAGGAGGGCATGAGCGACGAACGATCTTTGAGAGGCGGCCGTTCAATCTTCAATCTTCAACCTGCGTCTCTGAAGAAGAAGACACCTTTGATGTCTTGGAAGTGAAAGAGCGTTAGAATTGGTGAGGTTGTTGAGATGTAGTCGGGTCTGTGCGAGGAAGTGATCGAGAGACGAAGTTGGCCTCTCGGGGACGATGGCAGAAGGTGAGACTGTGGGAGAGCTTCAAGAGGTTTAATCTGTTGATTGATTGTGCTAGAAAATCAGGTACAGTTTCAAAACCTTAGATAATCTTTATAGCCTTTTCTGAATCGGATTGAATGAAGAAGGATTTGTAACCGTTCTTTATCAGTTACATAGCCCCTTGTTATAACATCTATGCAATTCGAGTCTTACATTCCTTGTTGTGCAATTGCTATGTAGGTCTAACAGTGTTACATGTATTTGAAATCTGAAATTTAAGGTATTTGAACTCATGGGTTTATCCGTACCAAATTTTGTCATGTATAAGCGAATGAAATAATTTCACACACTGTCTTTCTTCGTGTCTGGTTTTATGTAAAGTTTGTGTTATTTAAGAAATGGCTATTCTGTGATACGTTAGAGTTCATGTTAGTTTTGACTCTCACCAGTTACAGTTCTTCTTAAGTTTCATGATGAATACAATCATCATGGGGACGTAGGGTATCGTCGGCAAGAAATTCACCTGAATCGGCAGATGATCAAAATTAGTCGAATTGAAGTTAGCTTGGTAACCATAATTGGATTTTTTTATTTTTTTATTTTTCTTATCAGCACAATAATAAAAGGTTTAAGTATGTTTTTCATCCCTGCAAATATGAGATATTTTTCTTATCAGCACAATAATTGATATTCATCCTCGCAATTTACATAGTTATCTTTTTTCACCCTTCATGGTTAACCACCGTTAACTATGTTGACATGCCTTGTCCACTCAGCTTAATGAAAATATTCAATCTCATTTAAATCCACATCGATTCACACGTTTTCAAATTAGCATTAAAATATATTTTCATCCTTGCAAATATTATGAATATTGTTTTACATCCCTATTTTTCTTTTTCACATCTTTACTTTTCCACGTCAAAATCAAATTAGCAAAATTAGCCTTATAATTTGAAGTTTTAGGAACAACCATCACATCATAAGGCAGAACATACTATAGGTTATTAAAAATGGAAACTCCTTGAGAAAGATATATACTGCTGCTCTAGTTGAATTGCAGCAAGTATTTTCGGAAAAATAATCATGGGAAGACAAGTGAGGCACACCGTGTGCTCCTATTTTTTCTCTCAAGAGTTGCCCGAATAAAGCAAAATGGCTCACCAAACTGTCTGCTCTTCTTTGTTATGAAGCAACAGTCAGTCCATGCAATTTTGGACGCGATTTTCATTATGGGTCATCTGGAAACAGTCTCTCTGTGCTTTAGTACAGGGGTAAGCCTTTGCGGCACTGGGGTAAATGATGATTGATTGATATAGTTGCCCGTCTCATAGATATTATAATAGGTTTAGAAGAATGTAAAAAAAAGTTATTATAATTATTAATGCTCTTGTCCAAACTCCATGAGTAGATTAACCACTTCCGATTAACAAATCTTAAGCCCAATTATTAGGAAGACATGCGGCCAGTAAAATAAAACAAACCATATGCATTTCATATTCTGTGCCTAATCGGTGGTAAACGCAGGGCTAAGAGACGAGAGACGACCTTACCTATCTTGAGGGCAGAGGATGGACCGACAACGGTCCTTTGCTTCCAGTGCCCGTCTCCGGCGTTCGTTCCTTCTCCGACGTGGAAAGTTCGTTCAGTCTGGCGATTGGGTGCATGGCAGTGGTGTCCTCCTCCAGGCGCGCTCTCTTGTTACTCTAGTGATCCCCTCTCCGATGTGAGCGCAGTATGAAAACAGAAAGAAGTCTGCACAGGTTCTTCGGCGGCACTCTCGGCACGGGTGGTACCTCTGGCGTCTCCTTCTCCGTCGTGGAAAATGACCTGGTAGTCCGGCAGTGATACACCGGCATACTACCCGTACTTCAAAGAAGAACCAAAGCAGGAGTTTCGGACTCTGCAGTGACCTGTGGCTTCTCCTTATTTCTCTTCTACAAGTGAGGGGAGAAATTTGGTTGATGGCTCGTTTTGTTTAATTTGCTTGGTCAGAGTTGCCCGTCTCATGATATATGTATGCGCAAGGATAATTCTGGATGGTGCAATAATTCATTTGAATTAATTGTTATGGTACGGTGATGGCCATAGTCTACGCTACAAGCCTACAAGAAAGCCCGTAAAAGCTCAAGTAGCTGTAGTTTCTCCTATAGTTATGAATTTAGGATACATACTATTGTCTGAGTTCATATTTTAATAATTTTCTGTTGGAAATTCGAGGTTCAATTTCCTAAAGTTCGTTTTATGAAGCCTGGAAAAGTATAGAATCATTAATAATATCTTTTTCTATCTTTTCTGCACATCTTTAACTGTTCACTACTTTGCAGGAAGCAGGGAAGTTTTTGGTAGGAACTACACGGAGTGTGATGGCACATGACGAAGTATGTTCCAAGTAATGTTTAGAAATTCTGCAACTGAACCAGTGATGGCACTGGTAAGTTATCTCCATCAAGAAAGTATTTATTGTGTTTTATTGTTTCTGTTTTGGATCTTTCATGTTTTCCCCACTACATGCAGATTCAGCAGTACAAACATGGCAATTCAATATTTATTCACAAATGGATCCTGTGATGATAATATGGTACACTTAGAAAACTTAATGGATGGGCTCCTAACTCTGGAGGACTTTTCAGAGGATGAGGTGATGCCTCTAACGGCTCTAAGTTACAAGTATGAGGTACGCTTAAAAATATATGTGGAAAGAAACAATATATTTGTTGATAAATAATACGTAGTATGTCTTTTATCGAAAGAAAATATCTTCCCGTATCATTTTTATCTTTGCCCTTGGCATTGTTTGGGATCCGAGCATATCCTTTAAATTTGTCTATGACTCTATGTCTCTATGTGGATTCATCTTCCTATCAAATGTACAGGTCACGCGCAGGCATAGTTGTCATGAAGCATGGCGACATCCATGGCGCACAAGCCATTTTTCATGGCGATGGCGCAAATATGGCGTCGCCACGTGACAAAAAAACTTCAAAAGAAATGATAGACACTATAATTCATCAACCCAACCACCAAAACATGAAAAAAAGTTGAATAACAACATTCTAATCAAAACATGTGAAGTTAAAATTGTTTAAAGTACTTCCAAAAAACATAATATTCAAAAAAGTTTCATGTCTTGCAAAATATGTTAGGATTTAGGCTTGTTAGCTTGTTTTTGTTTGATGGTTATGGCATAATCATCATCAATCATCGCACTCCTCATCATCGAACAACATCCCCAGTATTTTCATCGTAGGTCGTTGTTGTTTTTTTCGTTCCGTTTCTCACAAAACTCCTTAGCGAAGGCAGTAGACGTCTTCTGCAAGTTAAAAGAGTAAAAACTGAATCAGCTTTTAAATTTCTGATACTTGAGTGTTTAAAATATAAATTTCAAGTTTAAACTGAACATCAGAAGGCTTTAAATTTGAGAAGGCTAAATGCAGGTGTGCTAAATACAGGCTAAACTGAAATGCAGGCTAATTTCAGAATCCTAAACTGAATTTGATAAATGTTAGTAAACTGAATTTCAGTTCTTAAGTTAAGTTCTAAACTGAATTTGATAAATGTTAGTATGTTACTAAACTGGAATTCAGTTTAGACATGCATTAAGAACTAAATTTAGTTTAGGCTTTAGACATGCATTAAGAACTGAATTTAGATAGACATGCTAATTCAATGATATTTCAGTTTACTTGCCTTCATTTTATTACTTGCCTTCAGTTTACAGAAAAGAAGAGAAATCTATTAGCTATTAAGAACTGATTTTTTATTATACTGTTTTGCATAAAGTTATAAAAGTTATAAACTATAACTCTATAAACTATAAAGTATAAATTGAAGTTATAAACTCAAAATGAAGTATTAATGAACTGAAGTGGTTTTTAAGTTTTAACAGTTGCTTTCGTATAATGTTTTGTATAAGTTATAAACTATAATTGTATAAATTATAAACTGTAAGTGTATGAAGTATAAACTGAAGTTATAAACTCAAAATGAACTGAAGTGGTTTTTAACAGTTGCTTTCATATTATGTTTTGTATAAAGTTATAAACTATAATTGTATAAAGTATAAACTATAACTATATAAAGTTATAAACTATAATTGTATGAAGTATAAACTGAAGTTATAAACTCAAACTTGAAGTATTAAATGAACTGAAGTTTTTTTAACTATTGCTTTAGCATACGGTTTCGTATAGTTCTAAACTATAACTGTATAAATTATAAACTGAATTACTGACGTTTTCTGCATTAATAGAGAGCATTATAGAGGGTAGTCATACCTTACTAATGTCCAAAATTCACCTGAATTACTCAACATTCTAGATTCATCCGACAAAATTCACTTAGGGGATCGATGAGCGTCTCACTTCTCTTGAGACCAGTTGGAGATCATTCTTTGAAGCCCCCCCGCCACCCCCCTCCTCCTAGCCACCTCCTCCTGAACAGTAGATAGTTGATTACTTGTCCTCCGTTAGCTGCTATACTTTGATTGTTCTGTTGGATGAATGTATATTACACTATCACACTATCACTCCCTACTCTACTTTGTTGTTGTTTGATTGTTTTGCAGCACAAAGTTTGCTTTTTGATGATACGCTGCGGTTTACAAATTGACCCAGTTTCGTTCTGCACCGACCAACACCTTAGGGAAGTTTCCATGACTCTATCACTCGCTTGTTTGTAATGTTGACTTGAGTTGAGATGAGTACGCGTGACCCTTTTCAAGGGCTTACCCTTACCCCTTTGTGCATAGTGTATATTTGGTTATCAAGGGCTATGCCAAATTTTAAGTGTGTGGGAGTGAATTGGGCATTCGGGCAGTAGTTGTTACATGAGATTAATTCTGTTAGCATGCGCAGATGTTATTTGTATATTCATAGGAAAGTCATGTCAAATTTTTGTAAATTTTTTCTTTAAACTGTGTCTTTGTGAGCTGGCTAGAGTTTTGACTATGCTTTTAGAACATCTTTGAAGTGTTTAGGCTTAAATTGCTTGCACTATAATCTACTTGTTGAGAGGATGAAGGCACTAGTCACCCATTGAATTCATAAATCTTCCATCTTACCTGAATAAGTCCTTTAGGAGAAGCCACTTTGAGCCTGACCATTTATTCTTTACCCAATTAATTGAGCTCCATAGCCAAATGGCCTGTGTTTCCTTACCCGTGAACATTTCTGACAAAGTCTTGGTGTTTAAGGAACTAGGGGATTAATTTGCTAAGTTTAGGGAGTTTTTGTAGGAGTCATTTTTGGCACTGTTCCTATGCCCCAAATGGGGTAAGAGTAGTCACTGTTTAGGAATTTGATATTTTCGAGGATTGCATTGTAGGCATGGATTCACCTGTTTAAATGAACTTTAATTGCTAATTTTCCTTGGTGAGGCCGAGATTAGAATGGGGTAATGTCTAGTAAAAATCTGAAAATTGAAAAAATTAATTATAGCTAGACCTCTTACCTTGCGAAAAAGAGAATGGGAGCCCCTGTCAAAAAGCGTAAGTGTTAGCACAATAAGATGAGACTTGGGTATCTTTCGAAAGAAATGGCGTTCTCGTGCCAACATGACAAGGAAAACTGAACTTTATTAAATGAACTTGAAGGCTTTTTGCAAAATTAGCATTAGTCCTTCGCGTACTTCAAGTATACGTCAAAGCACCAATGTGCCGCGGCGGTTTAGCTTAGTTGTACACCATATCTACTCTTTGCATAGGTCTAAATGATAGTTCCTAATTGGTGGCCTACTGAGCTCCTTGATCCCAAGAATAGCCCCGAAATTCCTGAATGCATTAAGTCTTTGTTAGGATGTTCCACACTCTCAAGAAAAGGGACTGTTTATTTCTAACCATTTACCATTCACCATTCACCATTCACCACCGCCTTCACAAGTCCTTCTGATCGGTAGCTAGTTTATTAGTGTATGCTGTCACTACTTTGAGGATGTTCTGAATAATTTTGTCAAATATTTTAGCTAGAGTACAAAGATGTAGTTTAAGGAGGAATTTTCTTGGTTTAGTCTGTCTGTTCTGTGAATATCCCTTTAACTACCTGTGCATGCTAATTGTTTTGATTTCGTGTGGTGATTATCGTAAGTCCCGTTGTTCAGTTTGCTTGAGGACAGGCAAAAGCTTAACTTTGAGACAGTTTTAAACTTGTTTACATACAGAATTTGTTATCTTCACTGTTTGGTTTAATTCCGCAGTTAAATTTTGATTATTTTCGGTTATAATTAGTTCGGGATGTGTTTAGCTTTATATTCAGGTCACTCGCAGGTGCCCATCAACTGCCCAATGAGGTTTCATATTTATCTAGTAAGTGGAAGTCAAAAGAGTTCTTTGTAAGAGCATAATGATGCCAGTGATAGCCTGAATCTCCAGTTGGTGCCTTTCAATGGGACATAGTCCTACTAGATATTCAAGCTTCAAGATCCTAAAGTAGGTTTCTAAAGCTTAGGAAAGTATAATGAAGTCAATAATATTATTGTCTTTTTTGCACTTCTTTAACAGTTCGTCACATTTCAGGCTGTAGGGAAGGTTTTGGCAAGGCTTATGGAGAGTGACGGTATGGGACAAAATTTGTGCCAAGCAAATTTTAGAAATTATGCAACTAAATCGTTTGGTATGTTATTTCTGGGAAGCAGTATTTTATAATTTCTTATTGTTTCATACTTGTTGATGATTTGTCCATAACTCATCATGTTTTAGCTGCATGTGTTATATGTGATATGCATTCCCATTTTTACATTACTTTGAGCATTTCTATCAACAGTTTGTATGCTGTAGGATTACACATGCTTCTTTAGATTACACTCTGAATTTGAATTTACCGCTGCCTTCCAGACACGAGCTCAAGTGAATTGAGCGAAACTGTGATACTGCAATTGGAACTTAGAGCAATAGTACTGGTTGCTAAAGTTGATGTGGGTGTTGAAACGGTTTCCAATGGCCATAAACTGCCCCGAGAGAGTTCATATTTATCTAGTAAGTGGAAGAGAAAGAATTGTTTGTAAGGGCATGATGATGGCAGTGATAATCTGCAGTTGGTTCCTTTCAACTGGACAAAGTCCTACTAGAAATTGAAGCTTCGAGATCCTGAAGTAAGTTTATAGAGCTTGAAAAAGTATAATGAGGTCAATAGTATCCTTGTCTTCTTTGCACTTCTCTAACCGTCCTCTACTTTTCAGGCTGTAGGGAAGGTTTTGGCAGATGAATATGGAGAGTGATGATGGCACTGGTAAAAATATGTGCGAATCAAATTTTAGAAATTTTGCAACAAAATCGCTCGGTATGTTATTTCCCTGAACCATTGATTTTATAGTTTCCTATTGTTTTATATTTGTTAATAATTTGTATTTCATGTAATTTTTTAAAGTTAAGCTTAGTGTCCTATTTTTTTCTGAAGTTTTACTTTTGAAAAAAGTAATGAAGGAAGAATAATTTAAGATTAATTTCTAAACCTTCACTTATAGAATAGCCGTTGTCAATTTTCTGCAAAGGGCATGAAACCTTAATATCAAAGGTAGTTGATTGAGTTTGTAAAAGAAGCCCGAGAACCTCATTCTGAACAATCGAAACAACTATTTACTAGTGTCCAAAATTCACTCGTATTTACTCAACATTCTAGATTCATCTAGATTATTAAATTTATCGGACAAAAAACCCTCACGTTATATGGTAGGAACATCTGGTGAGTTTGGTTTTCACTTTTCAAACGAGATGATCTATTTAGCAATTCAAATTTATGTTCCATATATGAGTGACTACGGATGGAGTAGGATCGGGAGAGTCTAAAATCAGTTTATATACAAAAGTTGGTTAAGTTGATTGTTTGGTTTAATTTAACCACGTAAGGTGGCCGTGCGCTTAAAAATATTTCGTATTGTGCTTTGGTTTACACACAGGTCACACAAATGCATATGATAAAGGTTCGAGGAGTGTGAAGTTGGAATTAGGAGTGGGCGCTTATCTATTATCTATTATCTATTATATATTATCTCTTATCTCTAATCTATTATCTCTTATCTCTTATCTCTTATCTATTATCTATTATCTATTATCTATTATCTATTATCTATTATCTATTATCTATTATCTATTATCTATTATCTATTTATCTATTTATCTATTTATCTATTTATCTATTTATCTACTTATCTACTTATCTACTTAACTATATATTTATATATCTATTATCTATTATCCATTTATCTATTTATATTTATATATTTATCAATATATCTATATATCTATATATCAATATATCTATATATCTATAAATCTATTTATATGATGATAATGATCTATATATCTATTTATCTATATATCTATTATCTATTATCTGTGATCTATTATCTATTTAACTATTTACCTATTTATCTACTATCTACTATCTACTATCTATTATCTACTATCTACTATCTACTATCTATTATCTATTATCTATTTAACTATTTATCTATTTATCTATTTCTATTTATCTATTTAACTATTTAACTATTTGTCTATTTATCTATTTATCTATTTATCTGTTTATCTATTTATGTGTTATCTTCTATCTTCTATCTTCTATCTTCTATCTTTCTATCTTCTATCTTCTATCTTCTATTATCTATTACTTTCAATTTTT